TTACTTTTTCGAAAAAAGTTGCCACCTGTTAAGAAATTAAGTTCAAAATAATACGCGAAGGCATTTTTTGTTCCGCATAAAAGATCTGCACCGTTCGTTCGATTTTCAAAAGTGGGGTGTAAAATGAAAGCGCTTGGCCTGTAGATGTTTAAACTGGTTTTGTTTTTTCGGAAGGAGTTGCCACCTGTTAAAAAATTGCATTCAAATAATTTAATAATCAATGCCATCAGATCCACACCGTTCGTTCGATTTTCAAAAGTGAGGTGCCAAATCAAAGGGCTCTGGCTGTAGGTGTGCAATAAGGTTTAACTTTTCGAAAAGAGTTGCCACCTTTTAAAAAATTAAGTTCAAGTTATTTTAAAAGCTTAACCAATTATTACAAAATAGGCATAAATGGAAATAGTTTTGAAAATGTTTGTTTCTTAACTTAACTTTATGAGGGTTGCCACCTGTTAAAAAAATCAAATTCAATTTGAATTAGGGGAATTAGGTAATATAAATATGTATTTGTGCCAGACGGTAAAGGTTAAGTATGTAGTAGTTTGTAAACATCTTGAAGAGGGGTACCACCTGTTTGAAAAGTCTAATTTATATGAAGTATAAAAAATATGGACGTCAAGCGAATGAATCTTAAGAGATCTTTAGTTTGAACGTGTAGAATATTTTTAAAGTGTTTGAAGAGGGCTGCCACCTGTCTAAAAATTAAATTCAAATTATTTAAATAGTTAAATCAATTTTTACTAATTGGGTACCAATCGCAGTCGTTTTGAAAATACTTTATTTCGTAACTGCGTGTAGAAGGGTTGCCACCTGTTTAAACAATTAAATTCAATTTGAATTAAGGCAATGGGCTAATTAAAATAGGTATAACAATAAGGGTGTCAGACGAAAGAGATTTAAGAAGATTTTAGATTGAACATATTTTGAAAAGGGTTGCCACCTATTCGAAAAGTCTAATTTAATTAAATTATCGATATAAAACTAAAAAGTGTTACGAAATCTTAGTTTGCACATTGAGAATATATTTTATGAGTTTGAGGAGGGTTGCCACCTGTGTAAAAAGTTATCAAACAAAAAAGTATTAGCAAATCATAGTTTAAACATAAGGAATATTTTTAAAGCGTTTGAGGAGGGTTTCCACCTGTTAAAAAAATTAAATTCAAATTATCTATCTATTATATATAATACGCGAAGGCATTTTTTGTGCAGCCTAAAACATCTGCACCGTTCGGTCGATTTTCAAATTTGGGGTGTCAAATTAAAGCGCTTGGCCTGTAGATGTGCAATAAGGT